CTCAAAATCGCTTTATGTGAAGGTTTATCGTGGTTAAAAATATTTAATCACTTATTTCCTCTTAACCATGCACATACATTTAAGTGATTAATATCGCCTGCATTTACACACATCATCTTAAGCTACTGGAATTACCASCAGCCGTCGTGCAAGTAATCAAAGCCTAAGCTGCATTTAAGCGTTAAATCGTAGCAATTAAATGCCGTGTTTGTTGCTGCTGTTGTTGCTTTTRAAGCATGCACATTTTATCAACTGGAAATTAGTAAATTAAGCGATTGGCTGTGCTGGGCGATAAATTAAAGGCTTGAGACAAAAAACCTGTTGACAAATGAAGTTTTTCACTCGAAAAATTCGTGCAGAAAAACAAGCGCGAAATATGAATAAACGCTTATGAGAGTGCGTGTGACAGCGAGAAAGTGAGCTGCACACAAGCGACCATGGCTAAGCAATACGCCACCAACGCGCGCAAGTCTCGCTTGATAAATTAATACCGCTATAAACATGTGTAATTTATATGCGTGCAAGGCTTATGGAGATATAAGCGACAATTTGTAAACATGTTTACGTGATTTTTCAAATTTTTGCCGACATGCTATTAATATTTTGTATTTTTTTTTTTTATATCTTTTTCAACTCCACAATTTTTATTTCAGTTTTAGTTCGGGCGTGTGTTTTTAACGCAATTTAAGTGGATTGCGTGCGCGTTATCGCAATTACAGCCAACAGGTGTTTAATTACAATTTAACGCTGGTTGGTTTAAATTTTTATCWAGTAAAAACAAATTAGCAATAATTTATTCAAATTTTTATTTAACTTTTTTGAAACRCTTTTAAAAATTGATTATGTTGTCTGCAAATACAATTTAAATGCTCTCAAAAAATAAGAAAAAAATACATTTAAAAAAAATACCAAAAAATCTTTGAGATTACTTTGTTTATTGCGTTTTTCACCACATGACATCATAACGGCTCGTATTGTTCTTTACGATCACTGCTTTTGTATATGTAATGTCATTTTCTCATGTCTATAATTTGTTGCAGTTTTTATTGCTGTAGCTATGACTTTAGCTATTAGCACGTTTGGGTTTTTTTTTGTTGTGAATTTCTGTRTCAGAATATGTCACCATAAGCCAGACATTGGCGCAGATTACTTGAAAATTAAGCGCTTCCCACACCCAAGCAACCAGACGGCATTGAGACAAAAGACTTAAGACACAAACTTGGTGGGTGTGATTGCTAATCTATTGGCAGTTTGAAAGTGGAAAAGGGTAAAAAATAATTAAAAATTGTGAAATACTAGGTTCATGAAGTTGCATTTTAAAATATGAGGATATTTATTATTTGGAAAAGAAAAGCTTGTTGTAATTTTGAGTGTAAGATTAAAGATGAAAAAGTTTCTATAGTTTGGTTGCGTAACTCAAAATATAATATGTTGAAAAAACTTTTATGGGATTTTTTTAGGAGCTGCATGGTATTGAAGACCTTATTTAGTGTATATATTTTAAAAATAATTTTGCAATTAATCAAAAAGCGAGCGTTGTCATATTTTTTATGGAAGAAAGTATGTTTCAACGTTTGAGTTTCCAAAATAATTTGTTTTTAATTTGTTTTTGTGCTTTGAAGGGGTCAGTAGGGTAATTTTAAAAATATTAATTTTTTTTGTTTTGCATTTTCTTTTCCTTTATACCCTCAGAATTAATATAGAAACTCACTTCACCATTGGAAGGTTTCGAAAAAGGCCCAAAAATAATAATACCGCTAGACGTTCGGAGCGCTCGTAGTGCACATCTCAAATTCTAAACGCGTTTTTCTCAAAACACACTTTAAATTAATAATATAAATATATAAAAATACATCATTTAAWTTGAAAAGATTGTGTAAAAAATTTCACTAAATTCTAAAATACCAAAATTTATTATATGCGCAGAAATTTTTATGAATTTTGTAAACATGTTCAAATAAATTTTTAATTTACTAATTTTATGTAAAATGTTATATTTTTTAATAACTTAAATGCGCCATTCAACGTATAYGATTTCGAAACAATAATATCACATTTTTAATGTTCATAAGTTTTTCAAATTTAATTGCAGAACACACTTATCTCCCAGGTGGCCTTGCAATCACTCTGGCAAGTAAACAGAGCTGTATGATATTCATAATTTTTTTGGCCTTATCTTATTTATGTACTATTTTTATGCAACCGTGAAGCCTTTAGTTTACTTGTTCATGAAAATGTATATTTAATAAACTAAAATCACATGAAAAATTATTGCTCTGCTTTAACGACGGGGTATTATTTACTTGTTAAACACCAAACAGCGGCGTACGTACACAACAGTTCAAGAGGGTTAGCGGTGTTGAATTTTTGAGAAAAACTWTTAAAGGAACTAGCTTGTGATCAATTTAAGAGTTAATTACCATGAGGAAATTAATTTCAAGGACAGTRTACAAATTTTATTATTACAAATTTTTCGATGTAATAAAACCTCATGATTGTAAGACTGGATACAATTACTTTTGTCCCGCAAGCTTTGTGCTGATTTTTATTTTATCAATCATTCACAGCTTTTTTGWAACAGCTAAATGTCAAGGGAAATGGAACGGAAAAATACGTACAGGTTATTGTTGAAGATTTAAAAGAGACCTTCCTGAAGCCAATTATTGRCAAAAATTATAAATATATATATAGTTTTTTGCAAACACTTCTCTAAATGTAAATGAGGTTTTTGCTTTTGAGGAAAATGTAGGTTTTAATGTCACAAGRAAACCGGACGTGTAAATTTTCTCATTTTTATATCATCAAAGTTCAAAATTTGACATGAGATTTTCATGTAGTAAAAATARAGCAAATAATTTGTTAAACAGTTTAGAAGCTGCCTAATAAAGAATTTTATATTTCAAACTTGTTGCTATTATCCTCTATAAAGAAAGGGAGAAAGCTTACAAGGAGCTTTCCAAGGTAAGCAGGACTTTTTGGAGCGCAAGCTGGTGGCGAAATGTGTTGCCTTTATCGATTGTGCAGTGAGAATTTCATGGCATTTCATTGATTGAAAGTGAAGTTATTGCGTTTTAAGTTCCAGTATGTCTCTGCTATCGGTGCGAAAATGAGCCAACGTTAAATTTTGGTTCAAGTTGTTAAGACTTTTACCGAAACGTTTCAATTGATGACACAAGTTTATGGCGAAAATAAAAAGATTAGATTAAATCTAAATAAAACCAGTTAGTAATTCCTCCTGATCAGCAATTACCCCCTAAGTAATATACCGTTTTTCATTACAAAAATTAGATGAACTTGAACTTATTACAAAAATCAACTAACCTTTAATTTTAATAACAACTGTTTAGTTTAATCCATAGTTAAACAACTTATCGTAAAAAAAGCGAAATTATGGGTTTTAATGCTTACGATTCTCTACACCATATTACATATAAATAGCATCATAATTTCATCTCCCGCTGTCACATATAGCCAGTAYTGTATTTAAAAATCTTATAACCAGAACTCAATATGAGTGGTTTCTATTATATCGTTTTTCCTTCGCCTGCAAATGTGCGAGCTAAATCGGTTTAGCCATGTCCGTCTATYTGTGTGTGTATACGCGAATTAGTATCTCAGCTTTTGAGATATCAATTTGAAATTTGTTTCTTCTCAAAAAGCGGCTAATTTTTTGGAACTACCAATATCGGACCACTAAAGCATAAAACTGCCATACAAACTGACTGATCAAAATCATGTTCTTGATTTTCATAATAATATAAAACTAAATTTCCATAAACTTRCAAGAAGCTAACGATTTGGTTCCAACTTTAAAATAAATAACTCGAAAAAATAATTTTAGCCAAGAAACAGAAATTTGATATTCATTTATGTACAGTTATTATAACATTTAATTTTTTAAGCGAACAGCAGGTTATGTAAAAAATTTGGCGATTAATCAAAAACCRTATATGACACTCTTTAGAAAATGATTAAACAAAAATTTGTTGGAGGGTGTTTTGTTTTTAAAAAAAAAAAAAACCATTTCAGGAAAAATTTCTAAAAAATATTTTGTAACTAATCATTCAGCTGTATAGTTGCACTCAAGAATGAAAATTCCAATTGATATAATATAAAACTACAAATTTATTGCATACAAATGTTAAAACTAATTTTTGAAACTTCAGTTTCTAAATAAATAAAAATTTCCCACAGGGTCACACACCAGCGCGCATCCATCAAGATATCAAACAGACAAAAAAAAAAAGAAAAACAATAAAAAAAAAAAATAAACCAAACGGGCGCACCACAATATTTATATCTAATCATATATGTATGGACACATGCTCTTTGATATCGAAGGCTGAACAAAGCGGCAATATAGAGAAATAACCGACTGAAAAATATTCAATTGTAAGCGCGTCAAGGCTCATATAAATAACGACACCGCATGCATTTTGATGCCAAATGTGTAGAGGAGTAGGTGATCGAACAAATAATCACGGCAAATAAGAAATAAACGGCGAAAAAATTAAAAGSCCATAAAAAATTACAGCAATTGTGAATGTGCGTCGTTGACACATAGAATACCAAATGAAGGCATTTGGTGGCAGCGACCAGTGGGTCGCACGCTCGCAAGCTACGCCTAAAGTACAATAACAATCTGAGCTGCGCGACGACAGACACTTTATGCATAATTTTCTTTTGATTTTATTTTTTCTTCGCTATAATTTTATTTACAACAATTTTCGTTTGCATAATTTTTCACTGCTTTTGTTGCGCTGCGTAAACACACACACACACGCGTGTAATRTGTAAGTTATCTCTCTGTGTGTGTGCGTGGAATTCAATTGAAGCAAACGTTTTGTGGCGCGCGCGATCGAAATCAGAAAACGCTCGCTGCTCGTCGGCGCGCTAACAGCAAATGCTTGATAATGTGACAACAATTCACGGTAAATATACASAAATATATATATAGAAGGTTGTAGTTGTGTTGCACAACAACACTTCGGTACACGCACCTTTAACACTTTGCCAAAATGGGGAATGCATACAGCTTGTCGGCAGCGGCAAGCCAACGACAGCAAGCAGCAACAACGTGCCTGCCACAAACTGCTGCAGAGGCGATGCGCTGTCTGTTGTTGTTTTTGCTTTTGTTGTTCTATGTTGCGTTGTATCGCCTGCTTTTTGGCGCGCTACAATCACGCCACTTATTATTTCCGTGTTGTCRTTGCTTTTGTTGCTGTTCTTGTTGTTATTCGACTAAGTTGTTGTTACGCCTTTTGTATGCTGGCATCGCTTTAATCCCTCGCAGTTAATACGAAGTCGAAGTTGTTGCCGAA